TCTTTGTGTACCCTTGAAACGGTACCCACAACTTTGGGAAAGAAACCCCAGGTGTGGATGAGAAGAGGGTGTTGGGCTCAGAGTTTGGAATTGTGAGTTTAGGGATGAAGGTTTAGGATTTTGAAGATTCAGGACTGAAAGGGGCACCGGAAACCCTATACCCAAAATCCGAAGCCCATCACCGCGTTAAGAGCAGCTGGGGTCATCAAACCCTAAACCGTAAACCCCTAAACCCCTAAACCCTAAACCTAAACCCTAAACCCTTAGGGTTTAGGGTGCGGGTGCTGAATTATCTGTAATCTCTGGGCCTCTTGAAAAACCGGCAAGCAAAAACCTTTGCTTTGAAAAGCTCACTACCCCGTCCTATTGAGTTCAATTTAAAAAAAAAAAAAGAGCCTGTGCGCCACAGCTCTTTTCCTTCTGAACTTGATTTACACCATCTACGGAGCTGCGCAAGCGCCCCCTTAGGCCTTACTGAATTTAATTCCATACAGCTATTGAGTGCCGTTGGATTTAATTTCAAATGCTACTGCACTCCGCCATGGAATTCCTGTTGAATTTAATTCGAAACGATTACGAGCTCCAGAAGCCTTCCTTCTATTGACTTTAATTTGATGTAAGACTACCCAAACTTGTTTGGAGGGGTCCCCCCCATCACTATAAACGACACCATTCTTGCTTGGGGGGTGTAGTACACTAGTCCGACACCAACATTAAGCTCGAAAGCTCTTTCAGCTCACAATCCTAGCTGAACTGCCTAGGGTTTAGGGCTTAGGACTCAGGACCCAGATGTTGCAATGTTACACGTCGCTTGTACTTTGTCAACCACTGCGAACAGGACCCACTGAAGATGAAGAAAATCTTGCACCGCAACAGATACCCATCTTCCGAAGACAAACCTCTGGAACGTAGAACCCCCAATATGTTACCCTATACTCCGTTCGGATTATTTCTAGGAACGCTTTTGGAGGGCCTACTTTCTGGACCTGGGTGTGGTGACAAATAAGACAAGCTGGTGCAAGATGTCTTTCAGTCGGCATTTGCATCAAGGCTGATCCAAAAAAGCCTGCGTCTTCTAAAACATGACTACAACCAAAAGCAAAGAATCTTCCCCTATACTGGGGTCTATAAGAATTCACGGGGAAAAAGACTACTCGGGTGGTATACGGACCCGGGCCTTCCGAATACGATCTCCGTCGTCAGTGAGCAGCCGACGTGCGATGTACGGGAAGGTCTCTGACCTCTGGATGTTTCTACCCTAAGCCCTACAATACGGGCCCAAATAATCGCCAGTAGAATTTTGGAGTCTATTTGAGGTACCACATACGATAATTATACAAGGAATATGCTACCATGATACTAAGTGCCTTAAATCCCTATATTCCCCAGTTTCCATGTCATTTCCCAATTTCTTTTCCATTTGATTCTCCATTATAGGAGGATAATATTGGTAGTTATTTAGGCCCATATACTAGTTTCCTACAGACACCTGCCTCCCCTGCCCAAAGCTCGTTTTGGGGCTTGGAAGTCGTGATGTAGTTTTGTGGGTTTATCACAGTCTACCCTTTTGCAAACCAACCCTACACCCCTAAACTCTAAACCTTAAACCCTAAACCCAAACAATCCCAAACAATCCCAAACAATCCCAAACAGCTTGGGAGGCTCTGACTTCAGGCCTTGATGCCCTAGAGACAAGGTTTAGGGTGTCAGGGTTCAGGGTTTAGAGATTTAGGGTTTAGGGGTTTAGGGTTTAGGGGTTTAGGGTTTAGGGGTTTAGGAGTCCCATGGGACGGAGTAATTACTTATAACTGGGTTTGTAACCCTACTTATAATTGGGGGTAACCCCTATAAGCCCATTTAGGAGAATTATAAGTAGGGTTATAAGCCCAGTTATAAGTGGCTACTAAGTCCCATGGGCCTCCAAGTAGGGGTTGATGGGACAGGCACATATTGCCCTGCAGAGCCCTACATATTCGCACTTCCTGACAGAACCATTGGCAGGAAACTTCCTGCCCCAAACAGTCTGAACCACAAGAAATGATTTCCGGACCCGCGGCCGGTAAGGGGTCACGGGGCTGCTTTGAGTGGAAGGCTTACGGTATGTCGCGTTTGAACTATTATGGAGATGTTGTGTGTGACCAGGAATAGACGGCCCGAAGTTCTAAAGATCCGACCTACGACATTACAATGTTCAACAGAGCCGTGTTCCAAGCCCCTCTCCTCTCGACAGTGATGGTTGCAATGCAGAACTGAAAAACTCGATACAAGTATCGTATATCTTTCAAGCAAGTCCACACAAAGACTCCCATTCCAGATACTTGACAGGGGAAGTGAGGAGACAACCACGCGCCTTTTCAGATTTTAGGGTCCAGGGTTTAGTTAGCGTTTGAGTTTTGGGGTTTATGTTTTAGGGTTCAGGGTTTGAGGTTTGGGGATGCAAGCAGGGTTTTGGACTGTTCCTTTAATCTGAACAAGACCCAACCACGAACTTGAAGTGGATTGCCTGAATCATGATACCCTAGACCTAAGCTCTTCCCTGAAATGCAACGAGTCCTGTTCTCAGGACAGGGCGACAGCGAGAAGTTCTTGTTTGCTCGAAGCCCGACACCTCTGCAGATATAGCAAGAACGAGGGCTTGTCCTCAAACCGGAATGAGGATCTTTTTCGACATAGAATTCAAAATCTGGCTCGCACACCAGCTGAGTGTAGGGCATGGACGTTCGAGCTTTACCCTCAAACCCTAAGCCCACCGAAAGTTTTGCATATTTGGGCTTCAGGCTTTAGGGCGCAAGGCTTCCGAGAATAGGGGCTTCAAGGTCAAGATGAGTTTCTCTAGGTACCCTCTGACGCTTGGGCAATCCATCATGGATGCGTTTGTCTAAAAGCAGCCACACCCTCTCTCCACCCCAAACCCGAAACCCCAAACCCTAAACAATAAACCTAAGCCCCAAACTCCAAACCCCAAACACCAGACCCTAAACCCTAAACCACGTGCAAAGAAACCCTCAACCCAGAGCTGGCCAAGATCTCGACCCACTTTTGAATGTTCAGGAAATAATTAGGGTTTAAAGTTTAGGGTTTGGAGTTATGAGTTTTAAGTTTAGGATTCCGGGTAACCAGTTACGACTGTAGCGTACCGTAGCTCCGGGTTTTGCAAAATAAAGTGTACCTATTGGGGGATCTCTAGAACGAGAATTATAGTATTTTGGGGTCTAGCTTGATGTCGCGTGTTTATCGAAGCTCCCACTTGACCCACTTGAAATCCGGTTACAACCATGTTGGGGACTTTGGGGACTTACATAAGTACAATCATAGGTCTATGTGGCGCTCACAGGGGCCACAATATTTACCAATCTTCCGGTCCTGCATTCCTTGCAGAACTATGGCATAGGGCGATGCCAACAAATCATTACTCGATCAAGATTCAAGGTTTCGGGTTTTTGGGTGTAGCGGCGAAAGCACCTACAGTTCTCAGCAAGGCCTACATTTTTGGAAGTGCTGCTTGCTTGGAATGATCAGCAGCCAATGATGTCGGGAAGTAACAATATCATTTTGAGGCACCCTATACCACAGGGGCACACGGAATCTCGGACCCACACGTTGGTCCCCTCCCCCGAGCAAGATTGGAAGCTGATGTGGCACCCTTTTAATTCTCGGCAGTCTTTAAACCCTAAACCCTATTCCCTAAACCCTAAACCCTACGCCCCTAAACCCTATACCCTTGGACACCATTTAACCCTAAACTCTAAGCCTCAAGTTCAATTCAGAGCCAGGTCCGTCATCCGCATTCAATCCAATCCCTAAACCTCAAACCCCCCCCGGGACATGTTGACCCTGAACCTTCCAAGCACCTCGCACTATGACAACATTCCCAACTTTTATGGCGAGGGTTATACGGAGGTATATAGAGTTGAATATAGGGTTATATTAGGGATGTATGGGGTTTAGGGTTCCCGTGCAGGGTTTAGGGGGTTTAGGGGGCTAGGGGGGTTAGGGGGGTTAAGGGGTTAGGGGGGTTAGGGGGTTTAGGGTTTACGGGGGTTTAAGGTGTTTTGGGTAGGGGATAGGGCTTTATGGTTCAGGGGGGTTGGGGAGTTTAGGGGTGTTAGGGTCTAGGTGGTTTAGGGGGGGCTTTAGGGTTTAGGGTTCGGGGTTGAGGGCTGAGAAGGAACATGCCACCTACGTGGAAGTTTCTCAAAAGAATCCGTAAATATCCCTAACAAGGACCCCGTCATCCCTTTGTAGTCTTCATGGTTTGAGGCCTCCTATTTTGAGAGACCCCCTCATAATTTTGGAAGACCCGAATTTCCTGCAGAACCTTGATCTGCGAAGCGTCGGTAACGTTGGCACCCTTTCTAGCACTGGAACAGGCACACAAGCCTCCGATTGGTTCCATGGGACCAATGAACTGACGAAACTTGTTTTGGCGCTGGTCTAAGGGAAGCGCATGTAATACAAACTCTTTATGAAATTTGGGGCTCGGAAATTCTGACAGGCACAAATCGTTTGCTCTCTGGGGCAATACCTGCTTCGCTTCGCGGTGAAAAACGCTGTACATTCAGCAGGCTTCCCATCTTTTTTCCACCCGAAACCCTAAACCCTATATAGCCCCACTATAGTAGTCTCCGTTTTCTTTTTCATTATCCCAAAATAGCCCTCATAGAAGCTGAGGGGGGCCGAATGCCTTTAAACCGCGTAACACGCTCAGCAATCCCCTTCCAAGTTGAGACCCGATCAAAGAACCGTAGGTGCAGGTGCCAACACACATCAAGAGTGTGCTCGTCCACAGGCCCCTGTTGAGTCAGTCCTGCCAGTAACAGTGCGGGCACATCCTTTGGAGGTGCCAGCTGTATCACCGCAACTCCTCCGCTTGTCCTTGCTAATATAAATATAATCCCTCTACAGCCCTAGAATCCCCTACGTAATGCCTATACCACCAGTATTTACCCCTGATGTAAACCCTAAACCCTAAACAATTACAAAACCTCTTTGAGCTGGTCCTTTCCGCGTCTGCACCTGCCCCCAACAGAAGGCGCATCACATCCACTCGGCCGGAATATGCTGCGAAGCCCAGAGGGGTGATCCCTGGGTTGCTGATTAGGGCTTAAACCCTAAACCCTAAGCCCTAAATGGGGTGCACAAGGGATTGGACAAGCGAATGGAAACTACTCAAGGGTTGCAGGTTTCGAGCTACGAAACTCCTCCCCACCCATAAAATATTTCTCCCAATCTACAAGGTTTCTTCTGGGGAAGGTTTTACATTAGTGGTGTGGGTGGGCTAATAGTAGAATGAAGTGATTAAGGTACCAGCGTATGGATACATCATGAAAAATGAGGTCTCATATGGCTTCATTAATCTGGTAACTTTATCTAAGTTCCCTAAGAGCAGCCCAGGCACCCTCAGAGCAAGTGTCCACTGTAGCCTTGCCCTCCAAAAGCACGCGAGCAGCATCCAAATGTCCAAGCCCAGCAGCAATGAGAAGAGGCGGCAAACTGCTTATGCCTGCATTACCTACATCGGCCCTCGCCTCCAATAGCCTGGGCTTCTGTTCAGGAACTTCATCTACGTTACTATATTGTGGAAACCTTATTAATTACCATATATACCCATTCTGGGAACTTAATCTAAATTCCTTAACAGCAACCCAGTAGCTGGCAAATGATGTCGGGCCTGCCTTTGACTGATGCCCAGCCGAGAGGTAGTAGCTCGAACAAGCGCCCTGACTCCACGCTAGCAGCTGCTTCCAACAGCAATGCCACCACATCTTTGTGGCCTTGCTGACATGCCACACTAAGTGGTTCAGCCTCTTCACCCCCAGCAAAGGGATGCCAGGGATGCCCAGGCATGCTACATTTGTTCACATCTGCCCCTGCCTCCAGTAACAGCTGCGCACTTTCCGTTTGACCACGTTTGGCTGCTTCATACCTGGTTCGTTACACTAGTCAAAACAATGGCTTCACATTCCTTACTAGGCCCTAGCAGAAAGAATATTAAGAAGTACAAGGTAGTTGACATAAACAGGGGGACCTCAACGTACACCCCGAGATTCTCTAATCCTTATCATGAAAACAAATATGGACACCTATTTTTGGAAACCCTACGCCCCATAAAGTTCTATATCCTACACCCTATAAGACGCTATAGAATCCCAGATTCCATTTCATTGTCCATTTTCTTGTCCACTCGATTTTCCACTGTTGGAGGTAACGATTCCACACTGAACCCTAAACCTTACGCTTTGAAACCCCACATATTCAACAACGACCAGATGCAGAGGGGTCTCACCCCGAAGGTTAGCGTCATCTGGATCTTGAGCTCCATCCAACAGCTCGTTAACGCGGCGCACGTCTCCGTGGATCACCGCAGCAATGAGCAGTTTGGCTTGCTCTGCGTCAGACTTCAGCAAGGGAAGAACAACAAGGTTCAAATCCATGGGAGAATCCAGCACCATAGCATCATCAAGCGCCACACCATCGCGCAATAGTTTTTGCCTGAACCGCGGGGGTAGCCCAGAAGTCTTCTGCAGGTGCTGCTTCAAGGACCGGACGTCGCTCAACTCTTCCACGGGAATGGTGGCAAGTTCTTCTCCCGACAGTTTCAACACCCGCAGCAGTCGAGGAGATTCATCAAGTCTGCGCTTCATGATCTTTACTACGGACAATGCAGGGACTATGTAGGCTACATATGTAGGGACTATGTGGGATTATATAAGAATTATACAGGTTTAAAGGGGGGCCATATAAGGTTTGATGGGGTATATGAGGCAGGCACAGTAAAAGCTGCTGATATAAAGGCTGCTGTGATCTGCAACAAAGATCTTCCGTAGTCCTGCACATCACACCTTCATCATCGGTTCGGCTGCAGGGCCTACATGACTACTTATAGGCCTGTCACAACGTCATTTTTTAGGGATTTATGCCATGCAGTTCTTATACCGATACTGGCCTACATGCTTTGGGCATGGCTTACCTACGCTTTCCACGAGACAGCTGTCTGCGAGAACTTGTACTGAGCAAACCCTAAACCCTAAACCCTGAACTACAATCAGGTTCACATCGTGTTCTGGAAGACTCTGAATAATAGTGCGACCACCATTTGCTAAGTAGAAGCAATCATGAGCTTCTCGTCTGATAATGTAGACCCTGATTAATAAACCTCCTCCCCTTAATGGTGGGGGGTTATAACAGGGATCCTAGTATTAAGGCCCTTTAAAAGGAGGGGTTTTATTAATCATGGGTCCACATTATCTCTGACACATCCAATCTGACCCCAATTACTTCATTAACGTCTAGAGGGCCAACTTTTGTCGTCACAGAGTGTACTCTTTTCGCTTCGTCCATCGCTTTTCAAGCGCGCTAGACGCAGAACCCGCGTGCCCAGAACCCGAGCCTTAATCCTGACCCTAAACCCGAAACCTGAGCTTTATCCCTAAACCCGAATCAAAAAACTTGAGCCCAAAACCCCCAGCTTGAACCCTAAACCCTGACCCTAAACAGTAGACCCTAAACCCTACACCCTAAATCCCAAATCCCCTCCAACCTCCATCACTCGAAGCTTTGGGACCCGAAGCCCCACACATGGATCTTGCCTAAGAATCCACAGGGTGGGGTTCAAGGTTTCTTTGAACCCGTGAAGGCGCGGGGGGTTGGGTAATAGAAGAAATCAATATTCCAAGTTCCTTTAGGCTCAGTTGAGGCTTTAGGGTTGAGGGCTTAGGGTTTAAGATAAACCCTAAACCCTGAACCCCAGTCTCCCAACAGTCTTCCGCTTCTTTTCGGATGCTCTATGTGTTGGAAATCAAAGTGAAGCAAACCCCAAACCCTAAACCCTAAACCTTAAACCCTAAACCCTAAACCTTAAACCCTAAACCCTAAACCTTAAACCCTAAACCTGAAACCCTAAACCCTAAACCCTACAGCTCTACATCCTTAACTCCCCATCCTCGAGCCATGATCTCTGCATCTGAAATCCTCAAACCCTTACCAGGGTTTAGGGCTTAGGGTTTAGGGTTTACTCTTAACCCTTTATAGGCTTAGATTTGGCTATATCATGTTCTATGAAGTTGTTGATTCTTAGAGAACATGATTTCAAAATTAGGGAACCTCCTAAGTGGCTAAGATCGCAATCTCTAAGGCCACACTCACTGACCATCCTCAGTAACCCCGACACTTCACCAAGCCTTCCAGCGTGGCCAGGGCGCGGATGATCAACGTGGCGTAGCCTGTGGCTTGACTGTTAGGGCTTGGCGTTTAGGGCTAAGAGGGGTTATATGCTAACGATGGAGAATCACATGAAAGCTGAAATGGAAGCTATATTTGGCAGTTTCCCAAAATAGGGTAACCCTAATATAGACCCCAAAGTACTATAGACCTTATATGACCTTATTATATGGACCCCTAAAAAGGGACCCCTACTTTTGCGGTCCCCCCGTTTAGGGTTGAGGGCTTAAGGTGTCAGACTTCGGGTTTACTGTTTAGCGTTTAGGTTTTAGGCTTCGGGTTTAAGGCTCAGGTTCACAACTGGGCTTTACCCTAAACCCTCAACCCAAACCCTGAATCCTAAACCCTGAATCCTAAACCCTAAACTCTGAACTTTAAACCCTTAAACCTTAAACCCTTAACCTTACATCAAGGCTAATCGGGCTTATGTGCGGCTTCCTACCAATAATGGAGACTCAAAGAGTACAGAGACTGAAAGATGAAATGGAAACTACTACAACAGTATTTAGGGATAAGGATTTGAGGTTAAGGGTTTAGGTTATAAACTGCCCCCACTCAGTAACAGTTGGATGATAAATAAGAATATGGTTATATATATAAAGCCCTTAATAGGACCCCTAATATAGACTGTTACTGGGTGGGGGCAGTACCCAAGGTTTAGGGTTCAGAGGTTTAGGGCTTGGGTTTTTTAACGGGTGTTCCGAGTTCGGCGACTCAGCGGTTAAAACGGAAAACGGGAATGAATTTCCCATAGCAATCTCTTTACAACTCCCTGTCATAGCCTATGACTTGGGTTCTAGGGTTTAGGGTTAAGGGTTTAGGGATTCCCCCTTGGTTTATTTTCACTCCCACTATCTCTTGTGGCAACTGTTACTGTAAGAGGGATCGCCCTGTTCATCATACTCTATGATTTCTGGATAAGGCTCACTCAGAATCGGGTTCAGCTCTTGAAGGCAAAAGCCGAGCTCGCACAGCGCAGTTGTATCCGTGGGGTTGAGCCGCCATGCGTCCCTGATATGGAACGCTACGAGAACCAGCCTCTCACCCACAAATGCCCGCGTCATGTGCGGTCTCGTCGCATCGAAGTACAGGGCCTCCTGAGAGGAACAGAAGCCTGTTTCATCCGGAGCTTCCATGCCAGGAGTCACCGCTGTTGTCTGCAACTCAGACCTCGCCTCCCTCGCACGTCCCCACAGGAACTAGCATGTTCATCGCAGTTTTTGAGTTGTGCATGTCCACGTGTATCCCAGAGGATGTATTGCGGTTGAAGGAGAGACTGCTGAAGTGATGCGACGAGTCCACTGCTTGGATCACCCCACACAGAGCCATGCATGTCCACGGCAGGCGCTGAGTGTGACGGTGCAATCCGATCACTCCCCCCATGTACATAAGCCCCAAACAGAACGGCGGAACCCTCAGAGCTAGAACTGAAACGGCTATGAGACTGAGTGGGAAGCAAGGAAAAGAGTTCCGAAGGCTGCTTCTTTGTAGCATCACATACGACAGCACCTAAGCATCATCACCACGCGACGGCGCAGGGTCCCTAAAGTACTCTTAACCTCATTCTGGTGACCCCTAAACACCATGGCACTTGGCACCTCTACTAAATGTTAACTTGTAGGTGCCTGTAATAAGCAAATAATGGAACCCCACAAGGGTAAGGCCCTAGCTACGTGCCAAGGAGTAAAAGGGACCCTACAGCCTAAACCCTAAACCCTGCACCCTAAACCCTAAACCCTGAACCCTAAACCCAAAACACTGAACCCTAAACCCTAAACGCTAAACCCTAAAACGCATAGAGGGTTGTCCTCGAAACTCAGGGACCTAGGAGCCTTGGATACCTGATTTCAACCAAGGTCCCTCGCACCCAAGGACTCAGGGTTTAGGGTTTGAGGCTTAGGGTTAATAGGGTTTAGGGTTTTGTGTTTGAGGTTCAGGGTTATTATGGTTTAGGGTTTAGTGTTTGAGGTTCAGGTTTATGAAGGTTCAGGGTTTAGGGTTGGAGGGGTAGGGTTGTTAGGGTTTAGGCTTTTAAGGTGAGAGGCTTAGGGTTATATGGGGATCTATAGGGGTTATAGTCCAATAGTGGAGAATCAACTGGAAAATAAACAGGAAAATGCTATGGAAACTGCTACACCCGCCCGCCACTCCTCTCACCTGTCTTTCGTGGCATCGAAAAATTGAAGGTACCTTTATGGGTGCCCCTGAAGAGGAGTACAGTAATTTGGAGCCTACACTGGGGGTCCCCCTTTTTAGGGAAACTACCATGTAATCCTAGTTTTTCCTATTTCATTCTGCATAATCCTGACCCTAAACCCCAAAACGTTACGCCCATACAATACTTCCTAAGAGGCGCCTGGCAGCTGAAAACTGCCGTACTTCTTGGCAATGTTCTGAAGCTCCTTGCATGGTGGCGTTTAGGGCTAGCCCTCAAGGGAGAGGTCCTGGGAATGGGTTCTAGGAGTGTGGCTTCAGGGTTTAGGGTCTTGGGTTTTGGGGCTTTAGGGGTTTCTGCTAATCCTTCAAGAGCACGGAATCTCAACCTGAAGCCCGGAAGCCCTGTACCCTTCCCCCAAGAGTCCACAAGACTGTTAACTTAGGAGAAGTGGGGGAGGGAACATAGCATACGGGATTAGATGAGCTCATATACGGGCAAACATGGGATCTACTCCCCTACTCTACCCTAAGCACCAAGTTGAGTGCCATCCCACACTGCAAGGGGTAGCTGAGCTATTGCAGCTCAGAGGGCGTTGCAGCAACGATCCGGCAAAACTACATCAGCCAACAGTACACTCCCTAAACCCTAAACCCTAAACTCTAAATCCTAAACCCTAAACTCTAAACCCTAAACCCTAAACAATAAACCCTAAATCCTAAACCCTAAACCCTAAAGCGGCTGGGCACATGCGATAGTTGGCATAAGTTGCGGGATTCAAGGGTCACTCTGACTGGGACCGCCGACATGCCTACAACAAACATAAGGGTCGCAGATTAGAGTTCAGGGTTTAGGGTTTTGGGTTCAAGGTTTTAGGGTGTAGGGGAGGTACAAGCAATATTTCCATCTAAAACTGCCAATGGAACCCCTTCATGGGCCCTTGGAAACCCAAAACCCTAGATCCTAAACTCCAAGTCCTAAACCCTAAACCCCAAACCCTCAGTGGTCCCTTGGTAAGCCAAATACTGACAGTAGTGCACAGGAGAGTCTTGAATGAATCACACTTGGCAAACGGCACTACACAAACCTAAACCCAAAACCCTAAACCCTTTATAGTAGTTTCCATGTTATTTTCCATTCTCCCTGTATAACCCAATATACGATATAGGTACACGAAGTCAAGCGAGTTGCAAGGCACAGGCTGCACACAAATCCGTCCCCACGGCTTTGGGTTTAGGGTTTAGGGTTCAGGCTTTAGGGTTTAGGGTT